CTTCTCCCAAAAATTCCAACTTGACTTGTGGAAGCAAAGATTCTAGTTCTATTAAAAGAAAAAAAGAAGCAATGTGTAAACTGTAAAGAAGAAAGGTAAAACAAAACATCACTAATGTTTTAAAAGTTAAGACCACATGAAGATAAAACATGGAGATACAATTAGAGAGACTAAAAACTAATTGAATCCCTCTTTCTCTCGCATCCAAGACCACTCTGATTCACAAAGATCAAGCGGCGAGTTTCCATCTTCATCTTTAATGGTTGTATCCGCTTTCTGCTTCACCAGAAACTCCGCGAGCGCTTCTCTTTCGCACACGACCGCATAGTGTAGAGAGGTTTGGCCTTCATTGTCCTACACAGAGTTTGTCAGCAACACACACACAAAAGACGGTATTTTTTTTTTTTGAGCGAAAGAATTGGTTTAAGGTTTTATTTACTTTTGCATTAACATCAGCATTCTTATCAACCAGAGCTTTAGCTACGTTAAGATGGCCACGGTCTATAGCCCAATGCAGCGGTGTCCGACCTTCACTGTCTGACATTTTCCAAGATGGAGAAACCATGAAATTTCAAAAGCAAATCCAGAAACATTTGTGAGAATGCTGAGTAGAGACTAACCTCGTGCATTTACAGGTATGCCACTTTCTATGCATTTCAATAGATTCTCGACTTCTCCTTCTCTAGCAAACCCGTGTATGGCATCAATCTTCCTGGAACATGAAATATCAAAAATGAGAACAAAGGCCAGGATGAATAGAGTTTCGACAATGATACTTTAATCCATCGAAAAGTTGTTTAACTTAGCACATGACCGAAACAATGAACGCGGGAAAAGTGTTCTTGAATGAAATAAAAGTTCAGAGACGATGATTTGTAGCTAAGCTTAGAACCTTACAACTCATTTTCGGATTCTTCTTCGTACACCAATGAGCTAAAAACCGGTCCCATGGCTGCTCTTGAGTTAGATCCTGCAGCATCACCACTCCGTTTTCCTCTTTTCTAGATGTCACACAACAAGGCAAGCAAACCAAGAAAGAAGATAGAGATTTAATAAACGAAGCAGATCATACATAAACAGTCCAAACGACTGAAAATCACAGAAAGCCGTAAAAAGAGAACTACCGAGCCACCGTCTGCCCAAGTTGGGTACAACTGAGTAACGAGATTAATATACTTCTCCATTGCTTCTTCAGGAGGCATCGCACCCAATTTCTGCCATGCGTTCCT